GCTAGAGTCTGAACCTGGAAATGGTCCGGTCCACCCTCTTCTGTGGAATCGCCACCAGTTACTCAGTTCTGAGAGTCAGCATTTCTTCTCAGGGAGCTTTCAGAGGACATCTGCTTTCCTGATCTTTAAAATGACAACAAAACGAGAACCAGAAGAGAATTTGTTGTGACTGGAGGTGGACAGGATCTGATGGTGATAAATGTGAGTGTGTATGATGGCGTTTCTATGAAATTTAGCACCTATGTCAAGCAGATTGGGAATCTGTATGCAGCAATAGAGATGTCTTGATTTTAAATCTACCAGATGTGAATAATTCACGGTTCAATTTTAGGTGGCATGACTAGTGTTAAAGTAGAGTATGTTTTCTGTATCCTTCTGATTTTCTCAAGTGTTGAGGATTCATGCAGAGCCAAGAAGGGTATAGAACCTGTAGGCCAAAGACCAAGATATTGCAAGTCTAAGAGAGCTGACCTTTATTACCGTTATTCATTCTTTCAGCCAACTAATTCTTAGGTAGTTCCCACTGTGTTTCAAGCACTGTGCTAAACACTTAAGATCTAATGATGAAAAGATTGAACCAATCTGCCCTAAAAGAAGTTACAGTTTAGTGAAGGACAAAGACAAAGGAAAAGGCAATTAAAATGCCAGGCCATGCAGTGCGGAGCCCTGTGGGCAGATGTGGGCGGGTGCAGGAGGCAAAGCCTGCGATTCACTTGAGGAACTTAACTGCCGTGAGGCTGCAAGAATAATGGGGTGAGAGGAGGAAGCTAGATTGTGCAAGACATGGGAAGTCTTATGTAAGAGGTGGAAAAATGAGAACCTACTGAAGAATTTTGTGCAGAGGAATGTGATAGCCAACCTCATTTTTAAAAGATCACTGACTACGGAGAATAGAGAATGAATAGGAGGGGAAACAAGTCTACCATCAAAGCAGCCTGGGGAGAGAGCTTTACACTGATTCAGGATCAGAAGATTAGGAATCTGCGGCCTGGAGCATATCAGTGACAGTTGGAATAGAAGGAAATGGAGTGACTGGAGCATTTGCAGGAGGTGGAATGCTGGGCCTTGGCGGACTATGTAACATGGCTGTAGAGTCAGGGGCTCGATAAAGGAATTTGAAGGCTCTCTATGAAGAAGACATTATTATGAAAGCTTCTATTATTTTTATCCAGGAAGGTTGCCATCTCATGATGTCCTATCTTGAACCTTTAAGGCAGTCATTAAGGAGCCAGCTGTTGAAGCTTTGAGAGTTAGTTCATCTCCCTCCTCATTCCTTAGTCCCATAAAACCACTTCTGGCCCCAACTGCTGTGTCCTTTACACCCCACTCTCTTCTGCTCTCTGATTCCTAAAGGCCTGCAGAGGGCTCTGTTCTCATAGCATTTTGCTCTCAACCAACTGCAAAGGAGAAAGTAACCTGATAAAGGGAAGTCCACTTCAGTGCTAGCTAGTAACGAAGGCAGTATTCCTCCTGTTAGCTATTTGCATTTTAATAGAGTAGTGCATGAAGCCTAATGACCTAAGACCTTAAGGTCTTAACCAATTAAATTCTGTCACCATTCAGACCAATGGAAGAAATATTAAGAGAAAACATGGAATTATTTCTGGTGCCCTTTGGACCACATTATTATTTGGCTGACTTCCCACCTTGGAAGTCAGAACAGGCCTGCTGAGAAACCAAAGAAATGTGGCCAAACTGAGTTCCAGAAGTGTTTGCTAGGTCACAAGTCAGCAAGCCTTGCTTAGCTGGGGCCACCTGAGTTTCCTAGAATGTCATTTGAAATCGCTAGCCACAGAGACTGGCCACATACTTAAGGTAGAAAGAGGAGAACTTTCGGAATGATAGATGTCCCCACTTGGGAGCCATCTACAACACAGCTGCTTTTTTATTCATCATGGTCTGGTGGCAAGATTGCTGATTTTAATTTCTAGAAATTAATAGCCAAGGGTAGAGAAAGTGTTAGCATTGGTATTTCTGTAATGATTTAGGGATTATGAGCCATTCATTTTCAACTATTTGTAATTGAAGTCTTGAAATAATGGAATTTATCAGAAGAATTCTTCATTCACCCTGGTACAATTTGAACATACTGAAATGGCACATGTGAGCTCATAAATCATACATATGCAGGATGGGCTAATATACGCCCTGCCCCCATTCACTTGGCTGGTGGGGGAAAGGTGTGGACATGAGTTACAGCTTACCAGACAGACTCCCGTAACTTCACTGCTTACATTTCCAGGACTCCTTTTATGTACCTTCATCCTACTTATACTGGCTGGTCATTTTATCATGAGGATTTTTTATCAAGGTTTTTTTTATTGTTTATTTATCAGAATACTCACAAGTGTTTTTGACAAAGTCACTTTGAGGCAGGCAAACAGATTGTCCTTGGCTTGGAGCAGTGGCACTGTGTCTGTACAAACTGTTGAATTAGGCATACAGTTTCTAATACACCAGCCAGAAGTGATAAAATCAAGATCAGCTGTTCCTCGTGGAGTAGTTTTACTTATAAAGCAAAGACATTCTCCTTTTTAGAGCTATAACAAGAAATTTAGTTACTATTTTTAACCGCTGCAGAGCACAGACATTGCATTACAAGGACAAACGTCTGGCTTCAAGGCACCATTTTCCAGTACCAATTCCTGTTGCTATTAGAACTGTCCTCTTACTCCAATTGTACGCTGTTTGAAATCTCAGTCCTCAGGGCTTGGTGCTATGCATATGTTAGCCTGGAATCCTAGAACTTTCTGTTTTAGGGAATATTTATGAAATACCATACATACTACATGGATTTCACTTAAATACTCATGTAAAATCATCTCCTTTGTATGGTTTACATTTGGGATTCATCTCACGTTTAAATTTTTCATTATATTTTCAAGCCCTGCCAAGTCCTTGCTACTCAAAAGTGTTGTATTTGAGTAGCAAGGACCAGCAGTATCAACATATATTGAAAGCTTGTTAGAAGTGCAGATTCTCAAGTCCCATTCCCCACTAACCCTAACTCCCACTACAGAATCAGAAGCTGCATTTTTCACACAATCCCTAAGTGATACGTATGCACACTAAAGTTTGAGAAGCTCTGGTAGGTGTTGGATTTTGAAGGAGACAAGAATTATTAATGAATCTGAACAGGTTACTTAAGCTAAGCAATAACACTGTATTAACATTTTAGGGCATTTAATGTGTTCTAGGCATCATACTATCTTGATGCATTTTACATGCATTATTTCATTTGGTCAGAAGGAAAAAGAAGACTCGGTAAATGGAAAAATTCGGGAATATTCTGGATAGTTACCATGTCCCAGAAGAAAGGGTTAAACCTAGAATGGAGGTGTTTGGACATTAATGGGGTGTATGCATGGTTTAGCATGTGAACATTTACATGTACAGTTTACATATGTGAGGAGTATAAACTAGAGCAGAGGTAGTGAGACAGGAAAAAATGCTGCATAGTGGATTCAGCCAGCCCGGGAAGAGCTTTTCGGAAGTGTAATAGCTAATATTCTGAAAGCCCATGATTTTCACTCATTTTCTCACTTCAGAACAAAGGTTAAAAGACTATGTTGAATGTTTACTTCATATGTAATTGTGCTTATAAATAATGTAAATGGATGTTACTTTATATGGATAAAAGTCTTTACAATGAATAGTTCTTATAACCTTAATATTAGTACAAAAATGTGTTGTTTTTAATGTGCAATCCTGAATATTTTTTTCTTAAGAAATAGGCTTAAGTGTAAAAGCCAGTGGAGAATATAAGCATATGTAAAGATGAGAAGAACTAGTTCCTAGTCTTGCTTCTGACTTGATACCATAATAATTGATAATCCAAACTATGACCAAGAGATTAATGTTACTAATATATTCCACAGAATTTTTCTTAATGGCACTCAAAGCTTAATCTTGGATGAACAAACTTCTGAAATACGGGAGAGTTGATAGTGCTTGTATTTGCATTACTTTTTTAGGAACTCTGATCATCTTTATTATAGTATGAACAATTTATAGAAATTTATAGGAGACACTGTAAAGTTCCCATTAATATCATTACAAACTACTGTTATAATCCACATTTCTGGAAGTAAATATAAAATGTCAAGGTACTGGGTAGTAGTATGACCAACGAGAATCCTGTTGGTCATCTATTGCTATGTAAGGATTACCCAGACACTTAGCAGCTTCAACAATAAGCACTTATTATTCCACAGGAGGTCAGGCACCAGGTTTAGCTTCGCTAGGAGCCTGTGGCTCAGGGACATCCACGAGGCTGGAGTCAAGCTGTCAGCTGGGCTGTGGCCCTATCTGAAAGCTGTCCCGGGGACTTCACCCCAGGCCTGCAGTTCCTCCTCCTGGGGCCTTTCCACAGGCGGCCTCGTGACAAGACAGCTAGCTTCCCACAGAAAAAGCAATCGGGAAGCGCTCAGGAGGAAGCATCCAAGGTGGAGGCCGCAGTCCCGTGTGACTTCACATGGAGGCAGCATTTGGTCACTTCTACCTACTTCTGCCCATTCTGTGCCTTGGAAGCAAGTCAGTAGGTTCTGCCCTTACTCAAGGGAGAGGATCACGCACATCTGTGTCTGCCAGCAGGGAGGGTCACTGCAGATGGACCACAGGTTTTTTTTTCCCACTTTGAGTCCATATTTTCTGACATGTCTATTTTGGACATGTATTATTTGTGTAATAAGCAAAAATGTTAAAGTCAATAAAAATTAAAAAGAAAATATTCTTTTATCAGAAATATTACCTGAAAAGTCACTACTCTTTGGAGCTTTCTTAGTGAGACAGTTGAATTGACTGAACACAGGATGTGTTAATGACCTTCCCAGCCACTATCAGATCACGTCGTGAGTCCAGGTCTGATATCATTAACCTAACGGTTTTGTATAGCTATGAAATCTTTGCACTGATAAACTAAAAAAGCGAAGCCCCGGTGGTGCTGTGGACACACTGGTCTTTCTCTCTGCCTGACCGTCTCCTTGCTCTGCTCCCAACAGCATGCTCGATGAAGAGCACAGGCTGATCGCCAGGTACGCAGCAAGACTGGCAGCGGAGTCCTCCTCCTCGGTAAGTCTTCTGAGTGAGAAGATGTCATGTTGGTGTTTATCCTGCAGCTGGCATTACACCAGCAGAGCTGGAGCATTTCACTGTGTGGCCTATAAGACCCAGGAATGGCCTGGCCTTCCACTACTTCCTTTTTCACTGCTTAGTTCTCATGTTAATATGGACAGAGCATAGCCTGAGACACTCTGCCACCACATTGCTGAGCCAGCCCAATATCTGATTCCTCTGGGTGGTTCCTGACCCTGTGATATAAAGAGCAAGGCGATGACTCCAGGCCACAGCGGACTCAGATAAGTCTCTACTGTCAACAGCACATGAAACATGCACAAGAAAGACAATAGTTATATAATGATGTCAGAAAGAAAAACCTGAATCACAGGTCAAAGTTGCCACATGCCCTATGTAGCAGTAGAAAGCTATCTAGAATATAAAACATAGGACCTCTAAATTATTCATTAGCACCACAGATCATTTCTTTGTTCAAAGAAATGTTAATTAAAAAGCAGGCTGAGTTTTCATATCTTTGGCTTTAGACAATCATGTTTTCAAGTTTGGTATTCTTTTGTAGAGAGATTAGTTGTGATTTTTAAAAATTTGTTTTAAAAATAAATATTAACATTGAAGAATTTCTACCATGTATTGTAGGACAAAGAAAGCAAGGCACAGAGAAGTATACATAATATGACCTTGTGTTTGTAAAACAGTGACAAATTACTGCTTGACTAAATGCACATGTATGCATGTATGATATATATATATATGTACTGTATTAACATTACCTTCACCATATACATATATGTGCATTTAGCCAAGGGTTATTTTGTATATATACATATATATAACTCATTAAGAGTTAATTTGTGTACACACACACACACACACACACACACACACACACATACACACATATAATTATGTGAGAATGGAGAGAACCATGGCTGTGTATACACCAGTTGTTAAAACTGGACTAGGTTGCATGACTAGAAATTCTGAGCTGGTGGTATGAATATAGAAGAAGTATATATGTATATCATATTCATATAAAAGGAGGAATTATATTATAAAATTATGTGTATGAATAGTGAAATGCTAAAAGCATGTTGAGCAAAGGAAGAAGTCATATCAACTCTGACTTGAAAACTAGGAAATGTTTGTGCATCACAGTGATTGAACAGCGATTCTGCAGAAAGTGCTTTATAAACAGTAAAGTATTTTTATGCCCACCTGTATCAAGAGGACAGTTGCAGTGGGGACAACACAGCAAGAATGAAATAGCTCCCCAAAGTTAAGTCAGAAAGCTAAGAAACTCTTCCTCCTGTGCTCTGTGTGTTTACCTGCTGGAGAATTCTGCCTGCTCCATTGCAGGGATGTGCTCCAGATCCACAGAAAAGTTGGTCCTTAGCAAAGGAATGGCAATTTGATTTTATGTGTTGGCTTTTTTGTTTTGATAGACAGTTTCTTCCTTCAAAAAAGCAGGCTGAGTTTTCATATCTTTGGCTTTAGACAATCATGTTTTCAAGTTTGGTATTCTTTTGTAGAGAGATTAGTTGTGATTTTTAAAAATTTGTTTTAAAAATAAATATTAACATTGAAGAATTTCTACCATGTATTGTAGGACAAAGAAAGCAAGGCACAGAGAAGTATACATAATATGACCTTGTGTTTGTAAAACAGTGACAAATTACTGCTTGACTAAATGCACATGTATGCATGTATGATATATATATATATGTACTGTATTAACATTACCTTCACCATATACATATATGTGCATTTAGCCAAGGGTTATTTTGTATATATACATATATATAACTCATTAAGAGTTAATTTGTGTACACACACACACACACACACACACACACACACACATACACACATATAATTATGTGAGAATGGAGAGAACCATGGCTGTGTATACACCAGTTGTTAAAACTGGACTAGGTTGCATGACTAGAAATTCTGAGCTGGTGGTATGAATATAGAAGAAGTATATATGTATATCATATTCATATAAAAGGAGGAATTATATTATAAAATTATGTGTATGAATAGTGAAATGCTAAAAGCATGTTGAGCAAAGGAAGAAGTCATATCAACTCTGACTTGAAAACTAGGAAATGTTTGTGCATCACAGTGATTGAACAGCGATTCTGCAGAAAGTGCTTTATAAACAGTAAAGTATTTTTATGCCCACCTGTATCAAGAGGACAGTTGCAGTGGGGACAACACAGCAAGAATGAAATAGCTCCCCAAAGTTAAGTCAGAAAGCTAAGAAACTCTTCCTCCTATGCTCTGTGTGTTTACCTGCTGGAGAATTCTGCCTGCTCCATTGCAGGGATGTGCTCCAGATCCACAGAAAAGTTGGTCCTTAGCAAAGGAATGGCAATTTGATTTTATGTGTTGGCTTTTTTGTTTTGATAGACAGTTTCTTCCTTCTTGTCTGCATATTCATGATTCCTGTCTTCTCAACCATGTGGGTTCCCATTCCCCATTGTTAAATAACATAAACCACATATTTTACAGCAGCCAACTCAGCAGAGAAGTGTTCCAGACATCGCCTTCACCATTGATGCAAATAAGCAACAGAGGCAGCTGATTGCAGAACTAGAAAACAAGAACAGGTAAATCTTTAGACATACTGACTTTTCCGATCAAAGTTTGCCTTCATTGATAACCTGTAGTCATGCTTTAAAATATGCAGGTGTGTCACCCTGTATGACATTTAAGGGGCATCTAGAGTCAGTGATGCTGGCTCCTGGGATGCTGGTATTCCAATTTTTTAGATATTCAGAAACTTTATGAGAAAACATATTTAGAGCTCAGAGATGCCAATGAAGTCATCATTCTACATCTACACAGTCTCCTCTCCCTTTTCCTGAAACTAGTTTCTGCTACAGTGCTGTCCAAGGCCGCCAGGCCCTCCCAAGCACTAGGAGGGAAGGGTCTCTGCCACACAGAGGCACTTAGGAGGCTGTCCAGGTGGGTTCCCTGTGAGGACCCCAGGCTCAGAGAGGCATCTGACACCACCATCACCCAGTTGTTTGAGCCAACTATTTCCCCGCCCAGTGGCCTGGCTGTGCCACGGGGACCCCCCAGTGCTGGTTGTTAGCCCACTGGTGGACTCTCCTCTCTGAGGGCATGTTTTTAGGTCCAGAGAGAATAAAGAAATGGGAGTGAGAAGAGAAGGCAAAAAGGAGAATTTCCCTTGTCCCTACCTCCTTTCATGGCCCTACCCCATACCCGAAAAGCACCTCGTCCATCCGAAGCCATCACTGTGTGCCAGCAGCCTCTGGCCCGCAGATCCCAGACCCACATCCCTGAAGCTTATCCAGGTCGCTGTCTGCACCCCAGAACTCACCCCAGGGTCTCCAAGGTGACACCCCAGTGATGAGACCTCTGAGCTTCAGGGTGGGGTAGTTCACCACTGCACCCCATATACCTGTGGCATTTCAGCAAGGATCCTGGGAGGACAGTGCTTCCTCCCAGCACACTCACGGGAGCTAGCTAGGGTTAGACCGGGACTAGGAGTCTTCAGGTTAACTGCAGAGATCACAGCCTATGGAGCTGGACCCATCAGACCACGTATTGGAGACTGTCTGGTATCCGTGGCTTTGAACTAACCCCTGGATCCCCATCACCTCTCCGCCTGCCTTTGAGTGAGCGCAGTCCTGGTAAGGCCTTTCACTGGTCTGTGAGTCAGTGTCTTCACTCATGACGCAGATGGGCGTTGTATACCCCACCGTTGGGGGACCAAACGGGCTTGCGAAGGCAGCATGGGCCCTGGTGGGGAGCGGGCACTCAGCGCCCACCACACACCTTGGCAGGCTGCTCCTTGACAAGGCCGCCCCTTCTCCTTCCAGGGCCTAGGGCTCTGTGCTTGAACAAGGAGAGCCAGGAGGCTGGCCTGGAAGTGGTCCAAGGCTCGCTGCTGTCCCGGCTGGGCACAGGGCGGCCCTAGGCTGGAGAGGCACCTGAAGGGTGTGGGATGGCAGCACGGGGCCCCCTGCCCTTCCCAGAGTGGCCCTGTCTCGACAGTTGGATGTATTGGGCTTCCACCGGAAAGTCTTTAAAGAAAAGTTTTCAGTGTGGAAAAACTGGGGCCAAAAAAGGTTGAAAGCCGTGAATTACAGTCCAGCCGTCCCACCACCCCCGACAGGGCAGTGATGGCCATCAGCGTCAGGGTCCTGGGTGGGGGAGCAGGCAGTTGTCAGTCAGCCTTCCAGTGGGAAGCTGACCCCACGCTCACCAGGTGCCCCTTCCGCTCTTACTGCACTGTTCCTACGGCTCCGGAGCTCTTCACTAGGTCCAGGAAGACCGACTGTGACCTTGCCTAACAGCTCCTGTCCCGTGCTGATGACTCACCCGGTGTGCGCCGCCTGCGCTTCCGGGCCGGCCTCATGCCGCCTCCGCAGCGGCAGCCCCGGCCGCACCATGTCCCCACACGGAGGCCGCGCTCCTGCGACGCAGACTCGCTACAAGTGAGCCCTTTTTAGAGCGGTTCTGCCCCAGACTGCCCTCCCTGAGGCCATCGCTAAGGCTGAAAACGTTAAGAGGAGCGTTTTGCCTACCTGGGGGCCCCTCGGACAGATGCAGGGAGAGCAGTTCTCTCCTGGTGCGAACCGGGTGTTTGGCTCTGAGGGGTGAGCACTGTTTGTCGCTGGTTTCCCTGCAAGCACCCCTTCCTTTGAGCTGCAGGTGCTCTCGTGGCGTCAGGCTGTGACCCGGGGTGATGGAAAGCACGTGCTGTCTCCTGAGCGGCCCGGGCGCTTCCGCGGCCGAACTCAGGGCCGCGGCTGACGTTCCTCCCAGGGAGGTGGTCAGAGCCCGGCAAGCACTTGCAGAGCAGGTCCCATGGAGCCTCTGCCATCTGGATGTACTAGAGGCAAAGTCAGTCGTCATTTTCCCGTGGCACCCAGCGAGCTGCAGCCAGCAGCGTGGACACGTGTGGACACATGTGGACATGCTGCTCGGTGAGGCTGACTCTGCCCCCAAACGCAGGCCACCCTTCTTGGCTCCAGGGCTCTGGTGCGCTCAGAGGCTAGTATCCCGGATGTTAACTGACTGTTTCTTACCTTCCTCCTCTGTTCCCAGAGAAATCTTGCAGGAGATCCAGAGGCTGAGGCTGGAGCATGAGCAGGCTTCCCAGGCCACTCCAGAGAGGGCCCAGCAGAACCCCACGCTGCTGGCTGAGCTCCGGCTCCTCAGGTACGAGGGGTCCAGGCCCTGGGGGTGCTAGTGTCTGGGGCTCCGACACAGCTGACTGGCATGCAGCCCCAGGGCTGCTGGCATCTGCTTTCTTTGTGGTAGTGCACACCTAATTGCTGTGGCTTGGGGCCTAGGGAGAAGGTGTTAACAGTTTTCCTGTGACAGAGAAGAGGAAACAGTGTTCTTTAGATCAGAAACAAAATGTCTCACTGGGAAAAACCTAAATTCATTTCTTTTTAGCTATGTGCACTATTGACAAGGTGTTTATGATACAAGTGATCAAACACACACATGAACGCTAAATAAACATCACATTTGGAAATTCACCTGTAACCCATAAAAGGGGGTCTGATATTCTCTAAACTTTGGTCCCTAATAGCCTTACATACAGATTTTAAAAACATATTTTGTGCCTTCTTGCTCTGCGAATGAATGAGAGCACCTGCTTCCCCTACTCTGGCATAAAATGTTTGAGCTGGGAACTGTCAACTTCATCTGCTTCACCCCCTGAGCTTCATGCCCATCTCTGCGGCAGGAGGGCAGAGCACGCAGAATGGATCGCGCCGGCCCTTGCGCGGGAGGAGGGCATGCTGCAGGCTTCACCTCAGACGGGCTCAGCGCCAGGAATGGGATGCAGCACAAGCCCAGGCCTGCCTGTGTGGCACACAGCACACACGTGACTCCAGAGACACACACCACTCCCCCGTAGAGATGCCGCCGTCCACAGGCGCTCTTAGTCACCACGTGTGACGAGCTTTCCACGGCTTGGATTGGGAGCCCATGCATCCCAAGTGTGCCCCACTCCGAGCCATCCATCCTGTTCACAGCAAGTGTAGATCCTCTTCTCAGAGGCTGTGTCAGAATTAGAGGGCCGCTCACCTCTTCCATGCAAGGTGACTAAGTTAAGCAGGTTCTATGTGGCTGTGCTGGACATCACCATGTCATCACTGACTGCAGCCATGGTGTTTCTGGGGGTTCTTTCCCGGTCCTGCCCTTGTGACATGTCAATGTTTGTGCACACGTGCCCCAGGCCTCAGGCCCTTCCTGCTCTCAGCTGGGACTAGACTGCTTCTCCCCAGGCTAATTCACATGGCCGGAGGGTCGGGTCCCCGAAGGCTAAGAGTATATCTATGGGACCTGCAACTCTTGGAGGCTCCCCGAGGTGAAGGGATCACATCATAGCTTTGAATAATGTAGTGAAAGAAAAGAGAAATTCTTCCTTTTCAACCTATATGATCTCTGGTCCTACCTTCAGAGAGATGAATTAGAAACCCTTCCACCGTCCATCACCCCGAAAGGATGAAAACAAGCAGGAGGAAGTAATATTTCCCATCCTCCTCCCTAAAGCCATATAAAAATAAATGCCTGCTTGAAAGAATCTTTTGCGTGTGAGGATCACATCAGCCTCCAAGCTCTCAAGTAGAAAGTGAAGCCTAATGTGCAGAGAAATACACCTTAACAAAACACGTGGAAATAGAGCAGCCATCGCACCCCAGGTGCCCCTCCCCTGCATTCCCTTCCCACAGGCAGGCCCTCTCCACGGGAGGGCTGTGACTAGGTGTTCCCTGCGAGCGTCTTCCTCCACTCCTACCAGTCGGTATTTGCTCTCGGCAGTGTTAGGTCCCCCTGGGGTGTCCCGGCCTGGGGGGCGGCCTGGGGGGCCTGGGTCACTGGGCTGCTTTCCGCCAATGTTTCTTCCCCTCATCCCACCACCTTGGGATGGACTGACGATGCTGACCATCCTCTTGGACGAGCCCAGAGCTACACTGAGGGGCCAGCTCTGCACGGACCTTCTGTCCCTGCAGCTCTCACTGTCAGCTGACGCCCGCCCCCCCCGCCACCCCAAGGCCAAGGCCCAGGACACGTCAATGGCAGCTGATTCGTCTCTATATTCCACACATGTTCTCTTCCTGGAAGAAAGAAAAAATACCCTCCCTTGGAGGCTATTTCTCTAGATACTTATACACTCATTGGTGTCAAGATTCCCTGACATCCCAGGTGAGGAAACCATGCTCTACATGAACCAAGCTTTACCGTTGGTCATTTCAGACCCTCCAGGAGCCCCCCCAGCAATGGCCTCTTGCACAGGCACTTCAGCCTCTGTGGGGGCGGTGGTGCAGAACAGCCACTCTGCTTTGATGGAGGTCTTCATCCATTGCATCCTCTGCAGGCTCTTTCTGAGAACCCAACAGGACAATGGTCTTCCAGCTGGGGAATGGGTAGGGGAAGGAGCAGAGCTGTGCTTCCCATGGATGCCTAGTTTATTTTCATCCCTGACCATTCTCAGTGATCATATCCCCTTTTTACTTTAGCCACAGGAAAGCTGAAAGCCAGGTTGGCCACCGGACCCAGCAGCCAAGTAGGGTTGTGGGATAGTGTTTCTGCGGGCTGACACTCCTACGCACTGAGCTGTATGCTCACTGGCCTGTGTGACTGCTGCCACGGACCAGGGAGATGGACACTGTTCTTATATGCTTTCTGTAGACACGGCAACTGAGATCCCAGAAGTTAAATAAACTGCCAGAGGTCCCACACCATGAGTAGCACGGGTCATTCCATCGCCTTTTCTGGGGTCTAATTACCTCCCTCCTAGACTAGCTCTGGGAGCACTCACTGATTCCCTGCCTCTGGCCCATCTGTGCTGTCATCAGACTTACCTTTCCTTGTCTTTCCTCATTTTACTGTTCAATCCATTCCCTCAACAAACAGTTCTCAAGGGTTGTACCCAGGAGGGAGCTGAAGAACATTCTGTCCCTAGTCTCACAGAATTTGTGCTAAATAATAATCACACAAAAAAAAATATAAGCATAAGCTGAAGCACTATAAGGAATCTTCCTTTTAAAAAAAGTCACAGTCGGAGGCAGAGCCAAGATGGCAGCGTGAGTAGAGCAGCAGAAATCTCGTCCCAAAACCTCATATATCTATGAATATATAACAAAGACAACTCTTCCTAAAATAGAGACCAGAGGAC